CAAAGACCCCTCCTCCTAACGCCATTGCCTTGGACGTTGGGTTCAACACACACATTTTGTGGGGGATACAAATATTCAGTCTACGGCAACCTGTCTACTTTTATCCCCCTTTTGGAATTCAGATGTAAATTACAGAGAAGAGAAGGGCATGAAAACGACAGGAGAAAATTAATGCGGTGGGTTGAGGTGAGCACACAGTGAAATCCCAGCCCATCTGACAACACTCCATGCAAGAGGCACTGTAACAGCATCATGCCATTTGCTCCTCAACAACCCTGTGATCCAGCTGGGGAACTATCCTTAGCCCCATTTTACAGATGAGACATTCACCTCAGAAGAGAGTAAATGACTTGCTCAAGCCGAGCTATGGCAAAGTCCAGATGTTTTCCCATAAGTTCAAGTCCAGGGCTCTTTCTCATCTCATTCTTAGCCTCCTAAGCGCTGCCTTGTGAATCTTGTTATGAGTCTTCAGCCATAAGCTTCGTGTCATGCCTATGAAATAATTGTTCTAATAACTGAGAATCAGCACAATTTGCATTTTCAACCCCAAAGGCCTGAAACTCAGAGAGGTGAGGAGCTGCACCTTAAAAACAAAACTGAGCCCTTCCAGGGCGCCTGGGTGGCTCATTAGGTTAAGTGGCTGCCTTCAGCTCAGGTCATGATCTCACGGCATACGGGTTTGAGCCGCACGTGGGGCTCTGTGCTGTCTGCACAGACCCCTCTTCAAATCCTCTGTCCCTCTGTCTCTGCTCCTCTCCTGCTCTCTCTCTCTCTCTCTCTCTCTCTCTCTTTCTCTCTCTCAAAATAAATAAGTAAAAATTTATACCATACAAAAGTGAGTCCTTCCAACAACAGGACAGGACGTTATCCCATTCATTAATCTCAACAGCTGTAAGTGCATAGTTATGAGTTTTATTACAGAATAGCTTCAGGGAGAGAGAGCGTCCCAATGAGAAACCAGTAGTGTCATCACGACGGTGATACATGCGGTGCAAGTCGGTGTGACCGACCGACCGACTTTAATCGACACGCAGCCGTGCCAAGAAGGTGCTTCGTGCTTTCCTTACTGGTACATACTAAGTCAGGGTGAAGGGGTGGGATCCCCGTGCCTGTCATCTGCACAGAACCCACCGAGATCAGAGGCTGCATTTAGCACCGGCGTGGCTGTCAGCTACGAAGACGGACGCATCCACAGCCCACTCCCCCTCACCTTGGCCTGGGCCACTGAGGTCACTTCAGCCCTCGGGGAGGGGGCTGGCGGGAGGCAGGCAGCAGTGCCTGTCAGCATCGCCTCTAAGAGGCCAGGTGAAGCAAAATACAAGACTGCGGAAAGTGAGACGTATCTTGACTGCGAGCAGACAGCTTTTCTGTTTCTCAGTCTTGAAAACGTCAGTGTCACGGCCAGTACTCGGCCGAGATCTAGGGGCTCTTGAGCACGGTCTCTGGAGCAGATTGCCTGCATTCGCGTCTAGGCTCTGCTAACCTAGGGTTTGTGTGGCCCTCAGAATGCTATTTAACCCCTCGGCCCCTCAGTCTTATCATCTGTGATTTTTATATACGAGTAATAAGTAATAACACCTGCTGTGAAGGCTTATCGTCAGGATTAAATGAACTGATTGATGCGTGTGAAGTGCTCCGAAGAGAATCCGGCTGAGAGTTAAGCATGACATCGATGTTTCCCATTCCTGTCTGCAGTATCTTGCACCTCGGGACTGGGCTGAGCCACTTAGAGGCACCCACGAAAGTCTCTCGCAGCTCCAGGCTTCCCAGGTTCTGTGTCCAGCCAGACACTCGAGTGCGAGTGTGGTCCAAGTGCAAGTGAAGTGAAGCAGCTTCACTAGGGAACTTGTTACAAGTACAAATTCTCTGGTGTTTCCCCAAGGCTTCTTCAATCAGCACCTCAGGGCGGGCCCAGGATTCCGATTTGACGTGCTCTCCGGGTGATTTTTAAAGTTGGAGAAACACTGTCTCAGAATCTTCTCTTCACTGAGAAACCTCAGGCCAGATACCCGCTTTCAGGAATCCTAATAATGGCGGGGCTACAGTGGTCATGGTGACCGAGGGGACCAAAGGTCCTCATCAGTCCCTTTGATGTGGGACCTGGTTGGAACCTGGACGAATTATTTAGGACCTCGACATAATCAGCTTAGTTAATTAAAAGAGTGACATTTAGAATGGCAGAGGAGTCCTGGTGGGGGCAAATCCAAGTTATGAATTGGACTAAGTTTTAGCTCCCCTTTTCCTGTTATTTGACCTTAGATCAGATTTCCCACTGCCGTCCCATATCAGCAGTCTGAATGAGTCTGTAAACAGGAGATTGCAGGCGATTCAGGACCTTGGAGGAGGGTTTCCAGTACTTTTTTTTGTAAATGTGCTAAGACTCATAAAGGAAACGGATACCCCATTCTGTGAAATAAAGAGAGTATTTGGCAATGAAAATCCATCAATAGTGTTTGCTGAGTTTTCCCCAAATTCAAGATACTACATGAAGTAAGCACTGCAGAGATGTAAAGAGGAGAGAGGAACTAATGAGTAGACTTGGGTGTCTACCCTTCACTCTCCCCACTCCCCATGTCTGTATCTGTCTAGTTCTTTCCCTGTCCACGGTGCTTCCTCCATATGATCAAAAAATATAAAACACATTTCTAAAATGGACTTCCTTGATCTTCTACAGTGCATATATCTTTTTAGTTACTTCTTCTTTGTTAAATTTATTTTGAGAGAGGGAGGGAGAGAGAGAGAGAGAGAGAGAGAGCACGACCACACCGGGGAGGGGCAGAGAAAGAGGGAGAGAGAGAATCTTGAGCAGGCTCTGTGCTGTCAGCACAGAGCCCAAGGCGGGGCTTGAACTCACGAACCATGAGGTCATGATCTGAGCCGAAATCAAGAGTCAGACCCTTAACTGACTGAGCCTCCCAGGCGTCCCATCTTTTTAGTTACTTCTTGAGCAACGGCGAACCATTACTTCTCCAGTTTTCTTCCTATGCCGAAGATGTTGACGTATAGTCAACTCATCGCCTTCTGATGCATTACGGTGTCTCTGGGATCTGCTTCTTAGATGCTCCATTTTAGAGGCACCATCCAGTTCAGGTGCTTATCATCTCATGGCCTGACAGCCTCAGCGATCCCTTGGTCGTGACGTCGATGGAGCAGCCTGTTCCCTCTTCAGTGCACATACCTCCATCACCACGTTGCCACAACAACACCCTCAAAGACTTTTTCCTTATCGTGTCATTCATGCCTTTGACAAAGAAACTGTTCTGCCTTCATTTTGGCTATTCTTTCAAATCTAAATATCTCTGCCCAACCTCAAAGCCATTCACTAACTCTGCCTCCCACATTTCATGAAGAGAAGTGTCCATTCTTTTTCGTTCTAGGAAATCAGTGTGCTGCACTCTTCCATCTACTCCCCCCATCTCCCGAGCCCACACATACCGTCCTGCCCACTAACGCACTGTGCCCGTCTTGCATTTTTCTTCCTGCTCTCCTTCCATTTGTCCTCATTTCTTGTTTCAGAACTCTTATTAGACATCCCCCTCAGTCCCTTGTAGCCTTATTTTACTGCTGCTGCTATAGCCACACTCTTACGTTGCTTTGCAAATATCCCCAATGTGATTTCTATACGTAGGTTCTCGTCCAGATAGTTTACTGCCGAAGACCAAGGGAGCAGAGGATTTTCCATTTCTTTTGTTAACGCTACACTTACGGGACCAGCCCAGAGTACTGAGGTTGATAGAATGTTCAGCATGAAGTGGGCACTCACTACATGTTATTCACCGATTACAAAGAGGTTGCTTGATCCCCTGAAGACAACCAGGGGAGAAAAAGCAGTCAGGAATCCTCCTAACTGAAGCCTATTTTAGGGAGCTCTAATGAGACCCAATTAGAAACCTTCCTCCTGTTTTCGTATGTTTCATGTGAACAGAAAGAGCTAATATGTGAAAAAAATCAGGCTAACTGTGGCTTTTTGGACCATTGCACACTTCTCTTCTGCTCTGAATGCTTGCCTGGTTTGCATTACGATTTCCTTCCTCGCTGGAAAACGACATAGACTTTCTCCCTTTCTTTGGAAGAAGTGGGACCTGTTGGAAATGTGAGGCTCCAGGATTCAAATGCAATGGGCTTGGCTGTAGTGCTCTGTAGTGCATTTCTTGACAAGTCCTGAAAAGACTATTGAATTCTAGCCTGTGCTTTTTTTTTCTGCAGTATTTGGATGTGTTTCAGCGGCAGTGTTTGGCTGGGTAGAGTAATCGAAGTAGTTTTTTTCTTCCTCAGCAATCTTATGTTACAATTTCAATCCTTCACAGTCAGAATGGAATATTTTACTCTATGTAAATCCTTTTGAGTGCAGTAGAATCATAGCTCTTTCATAAGCAGTCTGTCTTTTAATATTACATGTAAACAGGTTAAGATGTAAATTGGTAGTACTATCCTGATAGAAAAACTGGCAGGTATTTGGTGACTTTGCTAGGGAACACCAAGTTACAAAGAAGAAATTTTTTAAATTAAATACAGACATTTTGGAGGGACTTTTACTTAATAGGGGGAAAAATGGCTTTCCTCTTTAATTTCATATGATTGAAACACTATATCTAGTAACCTCTGCAATGTCACAAGCATTGTGCATATGTGGTGGGCTGGGGTTTGATGTTCTGTGTAACAGGCTATTGTTCTCTGGTAATCTTCAAAAGGCTGCTGGCCTTTGAATTTGCTCCATATCTAAAATTCTAGCTTTAATTATCAGATTAGCCTGCATTTTTTTCTTTGTGAGTAAGGAGAGGAGAAGCTGAATTGTGTTTATTATTCTGCAAAATGCTTGAGATGATAGGATCCCAAATGCTTAATTTTGTTCCGGAAATGGGAACTGTCAAATTATAGAGCCCTTCAAGCCAATGGAGGGAAATTAATAAATCAGGGGAACAGGGTCACTGAGTGACACGGCATAAATGGGCGTTCGTGTGGCGCAGGCTGCTAAACAACATTGAAATTGTCCCTTCCAGGGTCCCTGCAAGTCATGAACAAAACAAGAAAGATTATGGAGCATGGGGGGGCCACCTTCACCAACGCTTTTGTGACTACCCCCATGTGCTGCCCCTCCCGGTCCTCCATGCTCACCGGAAAGTATGTGCACAACCACAATGTCTACACCAACAATGAGAACTGCTCTTCGCCATCCTGGCAGGCGATGCATGAACCTCGGACTTTTGCTGTGTATCTTAACAACACTGGCTACAGAACAGGTAAAGGTGGACTTTCTAGCCAATGAACTTCTGGCGGTGTATCTGAGATACAGGTAAATGCATGGTGTAATGAAATAGATGAAGTTCCAATAAGCAGAAGTAGGGTAGACTCTTCTCTTCTGCATCAGTGTCCTCCCCATCCCCTTCTTTTTTACTCTGAAAAGTGTACCAATGAGCGATCCCTTAGAAAAAAGAGTGATTCTCAGTGGGTACGTTTACAAAAGTGTTATATTCATCAGAGCACCCAACGATCAGAATTTTCTAAGAGGATCTGCAACAGAGGAGTACTCACCCCATTTGCCTGCTTGGGATCATGTTACAGCCTGAGGCTTGTCTTAGGTGTTGGTAAATTCCTGCAGATTGTTTCAGTGAGAAATCGTCAAATGTTTAAAACTGCTTAGCATCCACCCCAAGATCTGGGACCCACTAGATAATCAAAAATTATTTTTTGTATTAGTAAATAACTGAATGAATAAGCCAATGAGGTGTACCTTGTTGATTCATCTGTTTATTCATTCATAACTAATAGAAGTTGGAGTTTCTTTAGCTTAGGCTGTGGTTATTTGTAGGTCTCAGATGTTCACCCCCCCGTCTTCCAGGAAAGGAAGGCCTCCCAGTCGCTACACCTGCTGTCATTGTTTAACCTACATAGGGCAAGAAGAGGTCTCTGGTTAATTGCTCTTTTGAAAATTGGGGACCTCTTTCAAGAGAAGTCACAGGGGCGCCTGGGTGGCTCAGTCAGTTAAGCACTTGACTTCGGCTCAGGTCACGATCTCGCGGTCTGTGAGTTTGAGCCCCGTGTCGGGCTCTGTGCTGACAGCTCAGAGCCTGGAGCCTGCTTCAGATTCTGTGTCTCCCTCTCTCTCTGCCCCTGTCCCACTTGCACTCTGTCTCTCTCTGAAATAAATAAACACTAAAAAAATTTTTTTAAAAAAGAGAAGTCATAAACGTCAATCAATCTTTGTAAGAAAGACTGTGGTAACGTTAGCCCCCAAAGCCTTTATTATCCCAGCATTCTGATGTTCTCTTAGGGGTTTTCTGAACATTTCTTCATGAAAGGCAACAAAGGTGTTTATAGAAGAGCTGCAGTGCACAAATAGTTTTTTTCAGAACCACCAAGACTTAGAAGGATTAAAGATGTCATCATTAAAGTTTGTTGGAAATGGTTTGTGGGTCTACAGCCTATTCTGAAGATTTAGAAGTAAAGGGTTTCAGATATATGTATTCTCTGAAATATCTTTAAAACATGAAATTAATCTTTCCCTGTGGACTTGGAAAGTATGAGGCCATTTGCTTCTTCGCAGGGCGTTCTGTGCACTCTTAATACTTGTTATTTATGGATAAAAATATTGATTTTGACTCTGATAGCATTGTCATTCACAAGCATCTCAAGATCTCCATTCAGAGGGAAGGCTCCTCCCGTGACTCTCAAGGGTGTTTGCTTATACTTAGGAAAGAAACTAGGTTACTGAGAGTGCCTTATCCTAAGTGTGTTTTCTCACATAAGTGATTTAAATTTATGGCACCTTTCGTCTGAGAGCCCTAAGGCAATTTGCAAACCCATCAAACATCCCTGTAGGGTTTACAGACAGCAAATGTACTTGGCTCTGTGTTATAACTGGGGTGGGGATTTCAAATACTGTGTGACCAGCTCGGAAGCGAAACCAGAAATTCTCCCCTGATGCCTGGTTCCTGATTTTAACCACCGACTCGTGCTTTGTTCATGAGAAGCATCATATGAAATCAATGCCTTTCGACTCCCAGGCTCCCTAGAATTTAATCCCTAGTAGCAGGTATAGAGCTTGAAGGGTTGGGACTCTCACCATATCCAGAGTGAGACGGACGATGCCTGTCACAAGAAATAAAGCTGCAGGATGACACAGAGAACCCTACCAAGACTAAGAGTGGTCAACCAGGGTTTGATAGTCTGTTTTGGGGCAAATCAAGCAAGGGCAAGAAGAAGATGAATGAGTTCTGAAGAAACAGCATACGGCTATGTAACCATAGCCGACAATATTGTATTGTGCACTTGAAATTTGCTGAGAGGGTAGATCTTTGGTGTTGTCACCGCAAAAGGAAAATAGTAGAGGTGTGAGGTGATGGATATGTTGATTGGCTTGGCGGTGGTGAATGTTTCGCAGTCTTTATGTATTTCATGCCATCGGGTTGTACACCTTAAATATATTACAGCTTTTGATTGTCACTTACACATCAATAAAACTAGGGAGAAAAAACAAAGGGGGAAAAGAAGGAAATTAATATATGTCGTTTACTTATGTGCACAGACGCTTTATCTAAATTGTCTCACTTAATTCTTCCGGCAACCTGGAAAGAAAGGATTTGCCTGTGTTGCCAGTGAAGAAACAGAGACTCAGGAGAGTTGTCTAAGGTCACAGGCTTACCCGTGATAGGATGAATCTAGCACACCTGACTCCAAAGTCTTTCCTTTTTCCATCATCTTCTTTCTTTACATGTTTCTGTCATGCCTCATTCCATAGCACCTTCAGAGACACGTAAAACGTAACAGGATACCGAACAGTAAGAACCCTGGAAAATGGAAATGAAGGGCTGTACCAGTTAAAGTCAAGGCAAAGCTTGGTATACAAAGTGCATGCCATGGAGATGTGGAGAAAAGGTGCATATTTGGAACTAAGCTTCCAGATGGCAAAAGGAAAAATTGAAATGCCATCCATTACGAAGTTTACTGGGTCACCAAGATAGAAATAAATTATCTAAGAAGCGCAGTATATTCTGGGCCTTGTTTTAGTTATACTACATTATATCTACCTTACAATGGATTACAAGAGCTTGAATAAAATAGAGATAATTTAGTTCGATCCCCTTATTTTCAGGTGAGCAAATTTACACCAACAAGATCAAAGTGGCACATCTGATATTCTAATAGGAAGAACGGGTGTCAGGACCTTAGTCTTCAGAGTTCTTTCCAGTGTCCTACCCTAAATGTACAGGTTAGGTCTAGAATGACACTGCACCCCATAAGCCTGCCCTGATGACAACTGTCAGGCCTTTTGTGCAGCCCAGCAGCCTGCTTCAGTCACTTGTCTTCTCCAAGAACAGGAGATTTGCTCCTGGAACCTAAGTCTGATTCTGAGGCCAACCTTCCACCCAGGGGCCTGGATACTTAGGTAATAATTGAATTTATAGTGAGTCATCTTAACAAGGGAAAAGGAATTCTTTAAAGGAAACGAGGACTTTTCCAAATAGTTGATAAACCAAAAAAGGATGATACACACATAATAAATTTTGATGGGCCCATTAGTGAATCAGGCAAAAATACAAATTGGAAGACTAAAATGTCAATGATAGAGATCTATACAATTTAAATTTATCCTTGATGGGAAAATATTGAAGTGTCTCAGACAATTAGGAAGCAGAGATGTCTTTGTGACAAGAGTTTATTGATCTAGCCAGGGACAGGGTCCCATTTGAAAATACACAAATAAGCACATCAGGAAGACAGGCATCTTAGGAAATTAAGAAAATTGGTGAATAGGTATTAAACCAACATAATTATTTACAAGCCACTAAACTAGAAGGGGGGAAAGCCAATATATAAAGATTTTATTGTTTTTCTAATAATGAATACATTATTTGGAACATTTAGCTGAGAAGCTAAGAAAAATAATGCAAGAAACCAAAATATATATCATACATAAATATTCATCCAAAGAAAAGCACAGTGCAGTAATCAGTTTTATGAAGAACAAGTCAGAGAAGACGAATTACCAAGAGGCTTATTTTGGGATGCCTCCAGAATATGTGGATTTAAATGAATCGAATTGATCCAATATTATATTTACCATTGTCTGACATGATTTTTTCTTTTTCAGAACTGAGGCATATTTTTGGACTGGCTATAGCCTAAATTTTTCTAACTTTACTCATGGAAAATATGACTGTCCAACAGCTTTAATGTTCAAAAGGGGAAAATACAACAACACGTCTATTGCATTTTATGTTCTGACAAGTGAAGTGGGACTGATATTGGATTATCTATCACAGAAATGAATATCCTGCCCATCTGCTCAAAAAAAATAAAATGTAGTGTAAAGTTCTTGTAAGAGTATAGACATGAATGTAAAACCTGTCATCGGTTTTAAGGTAAAAGTAACAAGCCACGTTGGAGAGATAGCATCACATATCAGAAAAAAAAAAAAAAACCTAAATCAAGGCTGAGGGGAGTCGGACCCTTGTCCCATCTCTGCCTTTAATATGTTCGGAGAACTTGCATGAGCTAGTTTCCCAATTTGTATATGCAATGCAGAGATCAAACAGAATGATTCCTAGGTTTTCTTTCCTGCCTGAAATTAAACTGTAATTTTATTATAATCCCTGTACGTTTTATATTGACTCATTTAAAGATTGTAGTGTTCACATTACAATTGTAACACATGATACATAAAATCACATGTGAATTAAACTTTAGTCATACTCATTTAACTTCTTATCACTTGGGTGAAAGGTGCAATATTTAATGGAGAGCTGCAGTAAATCTCTTTGTAAAGAAGTCTTTTATAACAAAATAATTTAGACCAATGAATCAATTCTTCTGATTTCATGCCGTTTTATTTTACAAAACTTATGTTACTCGTAGCAAAATTATTTATTTATTTATTTGTCCTCCACACACTAATATTCTTATTTTAATGAATTATGGTATTATAGATCTTGATAGTAACATATGGTATAGCATGCATGTATTGAACTACATATGCTTAGACTTACACTAAGTGCTGGGATATGAAAAGATATAAAGTAAGATCCCTGGCTTGACAACATGTAAGTAAGATCCTTGTCTTCATTAGACTTACAGTCTCCTTGGGGAATTAAATTATAATTTTAACTTGGTTCAAACTTACGTATATTGGTGTTTTAACTACCAGTAAAATCCTGTGACCCCAAGTTTATCAATTACACGCAGTAAAAACTCAATTAGTGTACCGTAATTTGTTATGTTAAATAAGATTTAACTTCTCCAC